GAACAGTCAGATATCAGTTTACCTGAAAAAAAAAAAAAACAATGCAGTTATTAATACAAAAAGTTGTAATTAATACATGCAAGATTTCACAGCTCCAGCAACACTCTTCATTTTCAGCCTATGAACATTTCAGCCCACCCTTGTACCTAGAAAGAAACAATTCAGTTATTAAGAAGAAGATTTGAAATTAATACATGCAAGATTTCACAGCTCCAGCAACACTCTTCATTTTCAGCCTATGAACATTTCAGCCCACCCTTGTACCTAGAAAAAACAATTCAGTTATTAAGAAGAAGATTTGAAATTAATACATGCAAGATTTCACAGCTCCAGCAACACTCTTCATTTTCAGCCTATGAACATTTCAGCCCACCCTTGTACCTAGAAAGAAACAATTCAGTTATTAAGAAGAAGATTTGAAATTAATACATGCAAGATTTCACAGCTCCAGCAACACTCTTCATTTTCAGCCTATGAACATTTCAGCCCACCCTTGTACCTAGAAAGAAACAATTCAGTTATTAAGAAGAAGATTTGAAATTAATACATGCAAGATTTCACAGCTCCAGCAACACTCTTCATTTTCAGCCTATGAACATTTCAGCCCACCCTTGTACCTAGAAAGAAACAATTCAGTTATTAAGAAGAAGATTTGAAATTAATACATGCAAGATTTCACAGCTCCAGCAACACTCTTCATTTTCAGCCTATGAACATTTCAGCCCACCCTTGTACCTAGAAAGAAACAATTCAGTTATTAAGAAGAAGATTTGAAATTAATGCATGCAAGATTTCACATTTCTAGCATCAGTCCTTTATAGTCAGCCTATGAACTTTTCAGCCCACCCTTATATATATATATATATATATATATATATATATATATATATATATGGAGACTGCTGAAATTTCTAGAGCATATAATGAGGAAAGAGATCTTGGAGGATTTGACACTGACACGGCTTATTAAAGGCAAGAGGGTCATCTAAGCAACAAGGAAGTTTTATGGGAACGAAACAGACACTTGTACTTAAAAAAAGGCTGTTGTAATTTCTAGGACATACAAAGAGGAAAGAAAGCTTGGAGAATTAGACACTGACAGGGTATATTAAAGGGCTACAAAGAGAGAAGCTTGTGGTGAGCAATGATTGTCTATGTCTTAAAGGGACATGACACATAAGAGAATAAGATGACAGAAAAACCTTGTGTGGATAGTATAATAGGTATCAAGACAGTGAAATTTACAAGACACATAGGATAGAAGGCTTAGAAAATTTGACACTCACAGGACATATTGAAAACATAGCGGGTAATGAGAACTGAATAATCTACCAGTTGTAACTTAGAAAGGGTTACTGAATGAGGAATAACCAAAACAGAGGTTGGAAATGAAATGGTAATCTTTATAACATCAACAAAATACAATACTCGTCAGCGGTATGAAGTAGGTAAACTAATGCTAGTGGTGAACTAATTAGACAGCATATTACCCTGAGTTACAATAGTGTCCAATGTATTGATGAGGTATCTGTCTGCATTAGTGTAATCAATGTAAATAGTGTATTTATGAGGATTGGGACATACCCATTAGTGTACATAGGTATATAATACTACCGAACAAGCCTGTGTAAATGGAATAGCAGAACAGGGAGTGTTAGGGGTGAAAAGGAGACAAACTTTACTAAGAACTCCAAAGAATAGGAAGTTGTGAAGGACCGTGATCGTCCATGTCCTGAAGAGACATGGCACATAAAATGTACAGATTGTTTATTATGCACTGTTGCATATTTCTCCAAATCTTACAATGTGAATCATATTATTAAAATAAATGCTCAGTCTACTATTAGGAAAGTTATTTCATTGTGTTATGTCAGACAATTATTCTCATCAGAATCCATCTTACACATTTATATATCCTCTTCTTCTCCCTCCGGCTATGATAGCAGGACAGACTGGGTTCTATAGCCTTGGATGGCAACTGGTCTAGGAGAAGGAAAACTCTGAATTCAAAACCTGCGGAGGGTTGTTTGGGGACCTTGTGTAGTGCACCAGGTCTCTGTAATTGGCCCTTCAAAAAGTGTGGATGGTCCTGCACAAAACCTTCACCATTATAATCAAATCTCATGTGCTATACATGCGGGTTTGGGGACTGCTTGTGAATTCCAAATTCCCATGAAACTCCAATATTGGAGCCAGCTCAACCCACCCCGGCTGAATGCCGTTACAAGAACAAGAAGAAGATTTATAAATCTACCATTCATCTATGCATTGAATGTTGCTGCCATATCTGGTCTGCTGCACTTGCTATATATCTTGAGATTCTCAACAAAATCAAAAAACAGTATCTGTAATGTTATTGGTCCTGACATCTTGACTTCAATCTCTTTCTCACCGCCATGATGTTGCTTTCCTCTGTCTTTTTTTATATTTTCATGGCAATTGTTCTAATGAGTTCTTAGTACCTCAACTACGTGAATTTATGTGTACTAGATTGGCAACTAAGTCTTGTTAATTTGCTATTGAAATATCTAGCTGTAACTGTAAGTTCTATTCTAATACTGGTCAAGTATTCTTTATCTGAAATTTCCAAATCAGGAAACCTCTAAAATCCAAAAATTTTTCAAGTGCTGACATGATTTGCAACAAATAGAAAATTTTAGAAAGCAGCTGTTGTAAGTGATCTCATCTGCCCTGGATTGGATCTTCCCAGCCTAACTATGTAGCCTCCATTGGCATCAGTTTTTTGTTAGCGATCGTCACAGAAATACCTTTGATTACTTACCAGGTGTTTCATACTCAAAGATATTATTCAAAATATCAAAAAGTCCTGCATTATATATTTTTTGCAAATAGTGATCAAGTTTTTGTTTTTTTGTACAGAAAGTACAAAATATTATTTTTACATGAAATCTTAATTTCACCACTTAAAAATTCATAAGTAGTATCATTAACTGTATCTGTATGTACACAAAGTTTATTAAATTTTATATAAAACTACTTTCAGAATATATGTTATTTATGTAAAACTAATTTTAGGTTATATGTAATTTATATATATGTTTTATATATTTTATAGATGTTACATACAAATTAAGTAGCATGAAAAAGCATTTTCGATTCTAAGAATTTAAGATAAAGGATTTTCAAGCTATAGTTTCTTTTCTTGCATTTCGTCCCAGTGGAATTCTCTTTTAGTTTCTTGCATCCCTGCCACCTATAATCTTCAAAAATTAAATACAATATCTGTTGCCATTTTTCTGTCTTCCTGAATCTTGTTGTTTTACAGTCCTTTCTTCTCATTCTTTTTCATTACCAGTAAGCCCCTTGCATCTTAGAGGCATTATCACTTTGTCTGAGATTGAAATGATTAAAAAAATAAATACAAAAAAATAACAAGATGTTGGCGGACATAATTCTCCACAGTTTTTTTTTGTTTGATATGTATTAATTATCATGCTTTAGTGACAACTTCACTCAAATATCTTCCTTTTTTTAATGAATTAATAATTATTGCTTGGAATTCATGGTGAGAGTCATTATTTAAGTCAGTAGTGATAACAGTTATGTAATATCGGTCCTCTTATATGGCAGTGAATACTGGAGAATCTCATCATAGATGAAGAAGAGAATTGAAGCAACAGAAATGTGGTTCTACATGATGAGAATACCATGGGCTGAACATGTGAGTGACGAGGGAGTTTTAGGGTGAATGGAAACATAAAGACGCTTATACTTAGAATCAGAAAAAGACAGTTGAAATTTCTCGGGTACATACATAATAACCCCCCTGTAACGACATTCACCCGAGGTGGGTTGAGCCGGCTCCAATATTGGAGTTTCATGGGAATTTGGAATTCACAAGCGGTCCCCAACCTGCATGTATAGCACATGAGATTTGATTATAGTGGTGAAGGTTTCGTGCAGGACCATCCACACTTTTTGAAGGGCCGAATACAGAGACATGGTGCACTAAGTGCCACAAGTTCCCCAAACGGCCCTCCGCAGGTTTTGAATTCAGAGTTGTCCTTCTCCTAGACCAGTTGCCATCCAAGGCTATAGAACCCAGTCTGTCCTGCTATTTACCCATAGCTGGAGGGAGAAGAAGAGGATTCATACCTTTCCCAAAGGTATTAGCACGTAAGTGAATGTAATGGATTCAACTGGAATTCAAACTCGGCTCTGCGATTCCTCAATCCAAGCCACTATCCATTATGCCACCGTGCCTCCTCACTCCACCATGCCTCCTCCATACATAATAAGGAAAGAAGACTTGAGAATTTGACACTCACAGGATATATTGAAGGAAAGAGGGACAGAGGAAAATAGCGAATAACGTACCTAACAAGCTTGTGTTGTAAAAAACGACTGGCAGAACAGGGATTAGGAGTGATAGCAAAAAGACAAATTTTACTAAGTGCTACAAAAGACAGGAAATTGTGAAGAGCCATGATCGTACACGTTATGAAGTGACTTCAGATATAGAAGAAAAAGGAGCTTGTGTAAAGGGATTAAAAGGGATTTAGGAAAAGACAAAATTTATTAAGAGCTACAAAGAAGAGGTAATTGTGGAGAGTCATGATCGCCCACATCAAGAGACACAGCACGTAGAATAAGTGATAAATTTAAAACATTATACTACTTATTATTAATTATTTAGTTAGTAGGGATCTTAATATTACTTTGTATCTTTTTTATGTAATAACCCCAGTCCTAGCCAAATATACCTGACCTTCTTTCGTTAAACTTATTCTTAGACAGTTTATAGTAAATTAATTACTAAGAGTAGCTTAGAGGTGGCACAAGGCCACAAGTATGGAGCACTCACTGAGGATCGAACTTACTCCTCAGTTGTAAATTAATCTGCAAGACAAGTTTGCTAACGATTTACACTGAAATGGTTAGCAAACTTGTGTAAATTTTATTTTTACACCAGGTTGAAGTGCCTATGTTTGCAATAAAAAATCTCTTAGGGATAACATTTATAATAACTATGAACATACCTAAGTTTAATATGAAATGTCCTGTCGTTAAATATACGAAAATTCGGAATTCACCCTCCTTTCGCCGGTTTTGATTTTTCAATAAAAGCATTACATTTCATGTGCGGAAAAGTTAAGTTTTCAGCGACACCGGTTGTAAGTACTGACGGTACTTATGTTTTTTTTAGTATCCACAGAAAATTATTCCGGGATGCGTGTAACCGCTATTTTATTTATTTGATTTTTTTTATCTTGTTCTTCTAACAACGGTCGATTCCACAATAATTGACTTCTTAATTAATCCCATTATTGATAACCTATGTTCCCACAAATAATTCCTAAGAAGTCTGATAAATATTCATGAGAAATCGCAGATTACAGTTTTCTTCAGGGCTTGCCAAAAAAAAAAAAAAAAAAATAAATAAATAACCAACAATATTTTTTTTTTATTTATTTCGATCGAAACCAAGTCGATATTTATTTCTTATGTCGAGTGTCTTCCGGACGGGACTGATCACGACTCTCGGCAGTTGCCTGTTTATTTTTTATTTTTATTTTTTTTGTGCCAAACAATATTTTCTTAAGGACTATTACAAGGTTACCATTTAGGTCCACGTGCTTTGAGATGATTGCAGAAACCATGGAAGGAGTTATATGCATATCACTCAGCAGAATCTCAATTCTATGTGGAAAAGTCAGGGAAGATAGTGAAAACAGAAAAAAAAAAAAAAACGAAAATAAAACTTGAAGGCTGTGAAGGTGATTCAATTTTTGTTTTTTATACCATTTTTTACAAAAGAAAAGAAAGAATTTGTCGTCATCATTCCAAAATCATTTGGTAGAAGAAGAATGCCAGGAATTGTGGTCGCCATGGCAACATAGAATTTTGTTGTCGAAAAAAACAGACGCGGGAAATAATCAGCGGACACTGGCGTCAGATGATGAGAAAAGCTGAGCTGATCGTTTTCAATTATATCGATTTATTCGCGCTGTGCGAAAACTAAAATGGCCCTTGGATGCAACCTAAAATTAAAAAAAAAAAAGCATAAACGTAAATTATTAATAATACACTGATATTAGGTAAATTATTAGGACCAAAGCCTCGCAACCAGATCTTATTACTACTGTCAGTGTCATATAATCAAGGATGGAACTTGTAGTGGTGCTGTAAGTATTGTTGGCTAGGGTCACCGTGAATATAATAAAGAAGGAACGCTGTGTTCTTGTAAAACAACACCCCCACATGAATAATGCACAACAAACACGAGAGAAAAATAATCAAACTCAGTGAACATTAATAACTTATTGTATTAACAATGATATACAAATATCAAGAATAGTATAAAGAAAGTTGCTTCCCTTTTTCCGTAATAAAAAGGGTAAGTTTAGCTAATAAATGTTGGGTACAAAATTGAATGTAATTTAACTACAAAGTTCAATTGAAGTCTTAGCTAAATAAAGAATAGTTCCACAGTGTTTTATCAGTGTAGAAAAATGTAATGTTCATGAGTGATATCAATATGAATTAGTATGATTACTCGATTGAGTGATAATTAAGAATTAAAATGTCAGTATAGCGCCGTGCCTTATTTTCCAAGAATTGAACTGCTACTTTTATTTATTGTACTATGTACAAATGTGGCACAAGGCCGAAAAGGGGGCTGGGGAAAAGGACGGTCATCACTTGTCTTAAAATAAAACTTAGCTAGCCACAACCACTGACCCTATCATACTAAACAATATTCCTATCACAAAAACAACACATTTATCCATACCTTTCTTACTACATCCACCAAAATGCCTCTTTGACTCAATGAAAATCCTAAATACACCCCTTATGTATAAATATTGTCTGTGGGGGAGGGGGGGCATAAAAACAACAATTTAAAAAAAATCCCCAATGAGTATATACAATATGTCGAAATATATTTACAAGAAACTAAACAAAATTAGTGTTGATGGCTGTTGGCAAACAGCGAGAGTCTTTATATAACGATGGATAGGCTCCGGATAGCTTGGCGCCAAAAATATAGCAAAGATACTAAAATATGCGATTAGTCAGGAAATGGACCAATCCGTGATTTTAGAGAAAATTTTGAATTACTTGCGATGGTTAAATTGTCCTATAATAAGTATCATGTATTTATTAACCAATGACATTAAAGAAAGCGGAGGTGTGGCACATGTAAGTGATTCCCACAAACTAACCCGAAATGCAGGATCTGCGGAAAATATGGTGAAACTGTCGACCATATTATATTAGGATGTCTGGAACTAGAAAAAAATGAATATACCCATAGACATAACAAGGTAGCGACATATGTGCAATGGAAGATATGCAAGAAGCACAAAATCGAAACCACTAAGAGATGGTATGAGCACCAACTATACACAGTTATCCAAAATAACGATGTAACTATCCTCTGGGACATGTCAATTCAAACTGACAGGGGAATAAAAGCCAACAGCCCTGATATTATCATAAAAGACAATTCAGGAAGTGTATGCTTATTGACATAGCAGTACCATCTGAGAGAAACAACTCCATGAAAATTATCGAGAAATTGTCCAAATACAAGGACCTGGAGATCGAGATTAACAGGATGGGGGAATGAAGACTTAGAAAGTACCACTAGTAACCAGAGCACTGGGCCTCGTGAGAAAAGGAATGGACAGTTTTACTAATTGTGTCCCAGGTAACATCAACATGCAAGTTGCCCAGATGATCGCCCTACTAGGAACATCCCATATACTAAGAAAAGTGCTATCAATTAAATGACAATTCTCTTATAGTGTCTAAGGACCATAGTTTGGACCCGGCTCTACAGGATAAAAACATACACAAATAATAATAATAATAATAATAATAATAATAATAAAGTGCCTCCTTATTGATATGGCAGTCCCTGCTGACTGCAATGTATCTTTGAAGATATTCAAAAAGCTGTCAAACTACAAGGACCTTGAAATAGAAATCTCAAAAATGTGGCATATGGGAACATCAACAATCCCTGTTGTAGTTGGAGCCCTAGGACTGGTTGGAAAAGATTGCAGTAGACTAATTGAAGGGATTCCTGGAAGTCCATGCCTCAAGGAGATACAAAAATTGTTCTCACAAGTACAGCCCACACTTTTTACGAAGGGCTTTATCTATGTAATTTTTTTTTTTTTGTCAGTGGAAAGTGTCATGATGCCATTTCTAACCTTAAGTCCCTGGGCGGGACCCGGAAAGAAATGTGTAAACGCCAGAAATCAAAGAAAATAATAATAATAATAATAACAAAACAGCTCAAAAATCTCTCCTACAAATAGTAAAAACGCCAAAATCTAGTCCATCAACAAAGAAACTGCACTCTTCAAGAAACAGCTTAATATACCAGAAAACCTACCAAAAATGAAGTGAATACACTCAATGCCAAACTAGTAAAACAGAAAGCCAAAAAAAATTGGCCAAATGAAATTACGAAAACCCCCGGAGGACAAGGCGTTGCATAGCAAATACCTAAAAAGAACGAAATAAGCAGATGTGGACCAACAGAAACACACCAGTAGCTGAGGAGCACCGGGTTGAAAGCTGAGACAGAAGGACTACTGGGGATATCCCATATACTATGAAAAGTGCTATCAGTTAAATTATGATCCTCCTATAGGGTCTAAGGACCATCGTTTAGATCCGGCTCTACAGGATACAAAGCAGGAAACATAACATACACAAATAATAATAATAATAATAATAATGTGGTGTTGGCTGGCGGATCGTATCCAAGTATGCCTGTCTCCTAGAGCATCTAGCCAATCTCTGTCATGGCCTGACGATTGTATTTAGCATGAAACAGACTGTCGCGCTCTGGGTGTTGACTTCAATGTCCACTTTTATATTTACATAGGCTCTATCCCCGATAATGAGCACTTTAACTCATCAATATAGAATCCCTTAAAACTATATATATATATATATATATATATATATATATATATATATATATATATTTATTTCAATTATAGGTGCAATTATAATTCATAAATTCATGGGGTTGGTGTATCTTATTTTTTATTGTTTGCGAAGATGTATTCTCGCCATTTAAATCATTAACCTCTATATTTGTTTTTTTTGTTTTTTGTATGAATGATTCATGAATTTATAAATTATAATTGCACCTATAATTGAAATTAAAATAACTGATCCAACGTGCAACTTTCGGACAATAAGTGTGACATTACTGTAATTATTGAACAATATAGTTCATGCCACATTGACGGAAAACCTACCAGTACACAAAAGAATTCTCCTATTACTATATTTGTACAAAAACGCACAACCTTAAAATTTAAATTCAAACTCAGCGTTCCGACCGCACGCCCCAAAACAATAACACATTTCTCATAGCATTTTTTCAGATTACATCTCTATTTTCGTTGTCCTCTTATTACCGAGAAATAAAAACAAGAACAAATCTATTTTCATACCTGAGGATGTCTGTAGGAACAGACGAAAGCTTGTAAAAAACTAAAAAAGACCTTATGCAACTGGAATTTATAAACAGGGATCATATCATTCATATACAGGTTCGGGGTTGGTGTATCTTATTGAAATTGTTTGCGAAGATGTATTCTCGCCATTTAAATCATTAACCTCTATATTTCTTTTTTTTTTGTATGAATGATTCATGAATTTATAATATATATATATATATATATATATATATATATATATATATATATATATATATTGATAATATTAGGGGTAAATATACACATACATTGGAAGCAGCGTCTATACAACCATAAACACTCTTTTAGATATAGATACCTCAGAAATCAAACTTACTTATCCAAACACTACTGGGATCTGGTGGATAAGAGACTAACCCCACTTTTAAAATGGATATATTTATCAAGAGCTAGAACCCTTAATAACTTCCGCGATCGGTGTGATCTGTGCATGGCGGAAAAAAAATTATTATTAAAGATAAGAATCAAGATGAGTTGCTGAATCTTCGTAATGAGATATTTTCTAAATGTAGACATAAGAAACGATTCAAAACATAAACACCGTTTTATAACATGTTGTCACTTATGTCAGTTCAATCTTGGTTCAATAACATCGGGCATGACATTTTAA